AGGCGCTGCGACGCAACACTGTTCGCACGAATCTTTCAAGGGTAGGCGCTGCGACGCAACACTGTTAGCCCGAATCTTTCAAGGGTAGGCGCTGCGACGCAACACTGTTAGCACGAATCTTTCAAGGGTAGGCGCTGCGACGCAACACTGTTAGCACGAATCTTTCAAGGGTAGGCGCTGCGACGCAACACTGTTAGCACGAATCTTTCAAGGGTAGGCGCTGCGACGCAACACTGTTAGCACGAATCTTTCAAGGGTAGGCGCTGCGACGCAACACTGTTAGCACGAATCTTTCAAGGGTAGGCGCTGCGACGCAACACTGTTAGCACGAATCTTTCAAGGGTAGGCGCTGCGACGCAACACTGTTAGCACGAATCTTTCAAGGGTAGGCGCTGCGACGCAACACTGTTAGCACGAATCTTTCAAGGGTAGGCGCTGCGACGCAACACTGTTAGCACGAATCTTTCAAGGGTAGGCGCTGCGACGCAACACTGTTAGCACGAATCTTTCAAGGGTAGGCGCTGCGACGCAACACTGTTAGCACGAATCTTTCAAGGGTAGGCGCTGCGACGCAACACTGTTAGCACGAATCTTTCAAGGGTAGGCGCTGCGACGCAACACTGTTAGCACGAATCTTTCAAGGGTAGGTGCTGCGACGCAACACTGTTAGCACGAATCTTTCAAGGGTAGGCGCTGCGACGCAACACTGTTAGCACGAATCTTTCAAGGGTAGGCGCTGCGACGCAACACTGTTAGCACGAATCTTTCAAGGGTAGGCGCTGCGACGCAACACTGTTAGCACGAATCTTTTGCATTCTTTTGCCTTGAAAGAACATTTGAAAAAGTCACGTTTCACGCAGTTTGCCAAGCTGTAGTAAACGCTACCGCAGACTTTAGACCTGGAGTAGTTGCCTCTGCTGCGTTGTAACTACTCAAACAACCGACGGTTGAGTGCGACGAACGCTCTTTTCCTTCGGTAGTTTTCGGCTCGGGTGCGCAGAACGCGCTCAACCCCAGCGAGGCTACAGCAGAGGTCGGGACAAGTCTCTGCCTGCCCGCCCGAGCGAGCGAAAAGTCCAAGTGCCCTGCTTGTCGGGAAGCCGCACGGTGCCTCACAGTGAACCCTGAACTTTCTGCACCGCTGCTGTCCCCCGCCATGGCTGAACGCGACAGGTCACGTTCCCCTGGAGACGACAGGCGGGTTCCTGCACCTAACAACCCGGCGCCTCCTGCTGCTCCCGTTGCGGCAGCTGAGCAGCCAGGAGACTCAGTCAGCGACAACAACGTTGTCACAGTTTGCTCCGAGACTTTCTGTTTCCGGCACGTGAAGGGCGTGCTGCTCCAGGAGGTTAAGGCAGCTTACAAGAAGCATGCAGATCGCATGCAGAGCGTGCAGGGCGGAGTTTCCAACTTCGAAACTCTGCAACAAGACGTCAAGGAGTTCCAGCGGTCTGGTCAAGTACCCAAGTGGTGCAAAGCAAAAGAGGTCTTACCCCTCAAGCACCGGCTTCTACAGGAGGCTGGTTCTGACCTCCAAGTCACACCGCCAGACGGACAGACGAAGCCTGTCCGTCGGGAGCTCCTCCGAGAGTTCCCTTGGTTGGAGCACGTCTGGGCGAACCATCGCCTTCCTGAGGACGCACCCGCCAAGGACCTTTTTGACACAGCTACAAAGGAGTGGGAGAAACTGCAGTTGTTCGGCCGCTACTACGTCGCCGCTAAGCAGCAGGAGTCCAGCCGGGAGGCTTTCACGCCCGGCGCCTTGAAGCGCGACTTAGACGAGCACCTCACCAAGTTGTTACAAGCCGTCTCCGAGCTCACAGGAGAGACGCTTGACACCCTGAGGCCCAAGTACCGCTTGGAACAGGAGGAGCTGCACTCTTTCGCCGAGTTGGTCCAGAAGACTTTGGCGACCCGTGCTGCAGCCGAGAGGATGCGGCAAACACAGCAAACCGCAAAGCTCGAAGCCAAGCAACAGCAAGCCAAGGAGAAAGTCCAGGCAATGGACTTGAACCAAGTTGTCGCTGCTTCCGTGACGCAGTCTTTGCTGCAAGTCCTTCCGACTTGTGGAGTCCGCGTTCCCAAGCGACTACAGGAGACACTTGCAGCAGCAGCCACGAAGCCCCTCGCGACCGAGGAGGTGAAGCAAGGAGTTCTCGACAACCTTCTGGGCAAACCCACTCCCAAGGCCGTTGCCAAGCCCAAACCCAAACCCAAGCCCAAGAACAAGCAACCCAAGTCCGAGCCCCACGCTGCAGCAAGCAAGCGCGGCAACAAGGGTAAAGGAAAAGGCAAGGGCAAGACAAAAGCAAAGGGCAAGCAAGCACACAAAGGCGGAAAAGGCAAGGGCAAGCAGCAGAAAGGAAAAGGAAAAGGAAAAGGAGGGAACCCCGGCCCGACCGGTCGGGGAAAAGGCTGGCAGCCGTCAAACTGACGCGGCCAGGGACGGCGCCTTGGGACACTAGTTCCCAAGCCCCTGGCCGAGCTACCAGCTGCCTTTCACGTAAACTTCCTCGCAGACACAAGCAGATGCTCCGCAGTAGCACCTGGAGGAGCCGTGCTCGACTCCGGAGGCGGCACGTTTTCCTGCAGGGCTTATCTGCCACGCAACTGCAGCTACGGTTCGCTTGGCAGATGTTGAAAGGCACTTCTTTCCACTTGCTCAACGAGTTCTTTGTCCAGTTGCCAACGCTGCAGCAACAAGTGGTGGTTTACAGCTCGCGAACGCGCGCTGTCGTCACAGATGCAGCAGTACCCTGGCCAGTGACCTTGCTTCTTACTATGCGGGGTCCGAAATTCATCTTCGGTGGTGTTACCCTTCCTCGTAAACCACGTGTTGTCAAAGCTCTGGCTGACATGATGAGGCGGATACGTACCGCTCACATGCTTGGCCTCGATAGTGGCAACTTCAATCCGCGTTTGTACTTTCCCAACCTGGAGTGGCAGCCGCTTCGCTGCCCTCCACGTGCGGAAGCTGCACTGGATACCTTTAGCCGGGAGGTGTTGCAAAGGTTGGATGACCAACATGCGCAACAGGTGGGACGGAAGTCCCGTGGCAACTACTCTCCACTGGATTGCCTAGGTTTTCAACTCCTACGACGCTCAGGGTGGAGTGCTGTCAAATCGGACAAGGATTCTTCATTCGTATTGCTCACCGTCGAAGACAGGCAGGCCGAATTGTGCCGGCTTCTACACGACAGAGAGCACTTCGAGTTGGTTGCAGAAACACCTGCTGAGCTGTTTGCCTTGGATGCGGCAGTTCTCCAAAGGTACAAGACTGCAGCCGATGCTCTTCTGCAGTGTCGCGAGTGGTGTAACTTGGCTGCTGGGAAGGAGCGCCTGAAACGCTTCTTGTACCAGCGTGTTCAGTCAGGTTTTTCTTGCACTAGTCGTTTGGCGTTTAATCTTAAAACGTATAAAAGCCCCATCGTGCCTAGAGAACTCGAAGGGTCCCAAAAGAACTATCTCCAGCCTGCACAAAAGTTTGCAAGTGTGGTGCTGCGAGCACAGCTGCCTCGCATTGCAAACTGGGTCATGCAAGACAGTGCTGAATTTGTCCGCCGAGCTGAATCTGGTGAGTTCGTTGTGCCTCCTGGGTTTAGCCTTTACAGCGGTGACATCAAACAGTTCTTCCCTTCGTGCATCCACCGCGAGCTTCTCGAAGCACAAAGAGACCTACTCCGAACGACTGGCTATTCAAACACTGCACAGAGAAGTTTCCTTCAAATGGCCGAAGTCTTGCTTGCATCACAAATCGCCTACGCCCCTGAAGTGGATGGGTTCTACCGCAGAACGAAAGGAGCCGCCATGGGCGCCTCGCATGCTGCAGAAGCTTGTGACGTCTATGTGGCCCTGCGGCATGACCAATTATTTGTCGGAACGGACAAGCCCGCTTGGATCAGCTGGTTCGTTCGATTCCGTGATGATTGTCTGTTCTGTGCGAACACAACACATATGACTCCGGACGCCACCAGACTGCTCCAACATCGCTTTTCTGCCATGGGCTCCAACCTGGTGTTGGAAATCTCCCCGCTCAGCAGGGAGGGTGCTGTATGGCTCGACTTGCTCATCCGAGTGACGCCGTCTGGGAGGCTTATGTTCTCCACCCACATCAAACCTACGAACCTGGGCCACTACATTACTGCAGACTCCTATCACTCGAAGTGCACCTTGGGGACCTGGACCACTGCAGAGCTCCAGCGGTATGCTCGGAACTCCACGTGTTGGCGCGATGCTGTTGGACCAGTGGAGCGACTTCACAGCCGCCTTGTGGGGAGACTGTACAACAGGAGTCTACAGGATATGATCGCCGTGACTTGGCAGAAGTGGCTTCAGAGAGATTCTTTGCTTCGTTCCGCTCAGCCCGCACGCCACAGATACACTGCTCTAGTGCTGCCTTATCACAGATGCTGGCAGCGAATAGGTGTCTGGGGCTTACTGCGCTGGCTAGAACACGAGCTTGAGGAGGCAAACATCCGCCATCATCCATTCCGGATGGCTTTTGCGAATCCTTATCCGCATCTTTATGTGAAAGTCCGGAACCTACACCGGACGTAACGGAGGTTGGAGGTTTCAGGAGGACGGAGGCGACAATCTTTCAAGGGTAGGCGCTGCGACGCAACACTGTTAGCACGAATCTTTTGCATTCTTTTGCCTTGAAAGAACATTTGAAAAAGTCACGTTTCACGCAGTTTGCCAAGCTGTAGTAAACGCTACCGCAGACTTTAGACCTGGAGTAGTTGTCTCTGCTGCGTTGTAACTACTCAAACAACCGACGGTTGAGTGCGACGAACGCTCTTTTCCTTCGGTAGTTTTCGGCTCGGGTGCGCAGAACGCGCTCAACCCCAGCGAGGCTACAGCAGAGGTCGGGACAAGTCTCTGCCTGCCCGCCCGAGCGAGCGAAAAGTCCAAGTGCCCTGCTTGTCGGGAAGCCGCACGGTGCCTCACAGTGAACCCTAAACCCTAAACCCTAAACCCTAAACCCCTTAAACCCTCGCGGGAGCCAAACGCCTCAATTCACTTAAACCCTCGCGGGAGCCAAACGCCTCAATTCACTTAAACCCTCGCGGGAGCCAAACGCCTCAATTCACTTAAACCCTCGCGGGAGCCAAACGGAGTCGGCGCCTCGTGGAGTTGCTCGGCTCCGGGTCGAGGCGGAAGCCGAAGCCGGCGGCAGCCGAGGAAATGAAGGAAGCGCTGCTCCTAAACCCAAACCCTATAAACCCGAAATTGTGAGTCTTAAGGCCCAAACCAATGATCAACATGGCTAGAAGAACTCAGTGAGGATTCATAGAGAGCAGCATGCTTCAGCAATCAATTCCTAGCTAAAAAGACAATGGTGCTGCCCCATAGGGACTCGCGCAGCGTTCAGCGCCAACAAATATTTGGAACGACATCTCCGGCCACCTTGGCCACGATGCTTCCGTTCGGCAAGAAAGGAGGAAAACTTCACTCAGTTTTGCGACTAACATGTGCTCACCAGAAGCCACAAATCAAAGCTTTGCCACTCATAACCGCTTAGAACCACTTAAACGATTCTTGAATGGTGTGTGCTCTATATCAGCATTTTCAGCCGGTCACAAGGAGCCAAACAAGTCCACTAGGAGCCAAATGAGTCCACGGGGTCGTTCAACTCAGCGGTCGGGGGTTTACAGCAGGCCGTTTAATTCACATTACTTTAATGTCGGTCTGCAGCAGCAAGTACAACACCACACAAGCTCGCAACGTCACTGCCACCATGGGTGACTCACGCATGTGCCCACACAAATTACATGAAGCCGCATGCTTGGCATCCCAACTCTTTGCGTGACAAGCGCCATCTCACCGACAGACCCACCACTCCGCAGAGCCCGATCACAGAGGGAAGCACATTCAACAAGCAAGCCGCCAAACACAAACATAATGTCATGAGCCATGCCATCACCCATTTCCTCCACCAGCCGATCAAACCTACATAACCGAACAGCTCTTGCCCAAGTTTCCTCTTATTAGCCGTTGTGCCGCAGTCCTATATTTCTCAAACACGGACAGCATCGGCAGAGCCCCTTGCTGACAGCCATGCGTGCAAGACGCTGCTCTTACGAGTGAGCGGCAGCGCACAGCACCCGGCAGTGCTGCGGCATCTCTGCAAATCCGGCCTTTTCACCCATCCTTCTGACCCAGCGAGTCGTAGATTCGCCTCATCAGCCTCCATCGGTCCTGGCTGGACGCATTGTAGAGTTGTAGGTGTTGAAATACGTACATTCAGAAAGTGTGCCAACAGCTCCGGCCGAAAGGTGGTTGTTGATGAAAGCAAAACTTTGCCATGTCTGCTTGCCGCTGGGACTGTAGCCCTGCCGTTGCTAGCTGCAGGACTAGCAGGCGGCACTGGTTACAACTGGAGCTGCTAATGCAGCCATGTGAGTAACATCAAGCTCCTGAAGCTCTAAACCTTAACCAGGGTTGAATACGAACCCAAACGCTGAACCGTAAAACTAAACACCCGGAACCCACCACCCCTTACCCCCCTAAAACCTTCCCTCCGCGGCCTTCGTCACATCCACGACCGGCGATGGCCGGCTGCGGACAAACACGCGCTCCTCTCAGGCCCGACTGTAAGACGAGGATGGCCATGATTCGGGTGATGATGGTGGTCATGGTCTTGAGGATGGTGGGGACAAGGATGATGATGCAAGCCCAAGACAAGAATGACTGCTGGGTCGCGCGCGGATTCCTTCAACTTTTCGCCGATTATTCTTTCAACTTCTGCCCGCGGATTCTGTCAACCCGAAACCGCGGATTCCTTTAACCCCAAAACCTGATTCTTTCAACCTCAGCACGCAGATTCGCTCAACCGTGGCCCCGGGAATGATTCCTTCAACCCAAACAACTGCTTCGTTCAACCCATACACAACCTGATTCTTTCAACCCCAGCACGCAGATTCACTCAACCATGGCCCCGGGAATGATTCCTTCAACCCAAACAACTGCTTCGTTCAACCCATACACCAAGAGTCGCTCCAACTACAGACAAGCGTGCTACCCCAACCACGAGGACTCACTCAACCACAAACACGCGGATTATTGTGCTTCGGGTTTGTTTGTCCTACAAAAACAACCTCTGGGGGGAGGGGCTTGTTTTCACTGGGAAAACAAACTCCGAAGGTGAGTTTGTTTTTTCCTACAAAAAACAAACTCTGGGGGGATGGGTTTGTTTTTCGTACAAAAAACAAACTTTGGGGGAGGGGTTTGAGTTTCCTACAGAAAACAAACCCTGGGGGGAGGGGTTTGTTTTCACTAGGAAAAGAAAGCAAACTCTGAAGGGGGGGGGGGGGCAGGCGAGTTTGTGTTTTCCGCAAAAAGGAACAAACACTGGGAGGAGGGGTTGAGTTTGTTTCGCCGGAAGAAAACAACGTTTGCGGATCATCTTTGGTTGGGTCACGAAGAGCCAGGTTGGGGAGGAGAGGAAAACAAACCAACCTGAAACTCCGTCTCGACGAGTTTGTTTCAGCGGGTACAAACAAACTCTGACCAGGTGAGTTTGTTTCAGCGGTGAAAAACAAACTCCAGTGGGAGAAGTTTGTTTGTTTCAGTGACGCTAGGAGGAGTGGTTTGGGGGGCCGACGAGTTTGTTTCAGCGGTGAGAAACAAACTCCGATGGGAGAAGTTTGTTTGTTTCAGTGATGCTAGGGGGAGTGGTTTGGCGGCGCGGGGGTGCAGGGGGGTTTGTTTTTCCAACCAAAAAAACTCTGGGGGGAGGGTGTTGTGTTTCCTACAGAACAAACTCTGGGGGGAAGGGTTTGTTTTTCCTAGGAAAAACACACTCCAAACAAACTCCGAGGGAAGATGAACACTCTCGGAAGGTGGAGGCTGTCTTGCCTACAAGGATTAGCCGCACGAAATCGTTTCAGGGAGTTACAAGCGAAGAAAAGAAAGTAAATACTATATAGCCAAAACTTAATTGAAAACGTTATCTCCAACACGAAGAATTCAGCCACACGAAATCGCTTCCGGGGGATAGAAGCGAAAAAGATTCAACATTGTATAGCAGAAAATTACACAGGAACGTCTTTTCCAACACAAACGAAGAGGCCACATAAAATCGCTTTAGGTGGGCTAAAAGCGAAGAAAAAAGTAAATAATCAACAACATTTCATCAATATGAAGGAAGAAGCCACACAAAACCGCTTTAGAAAGGTACAAGGCTAAAAAAAGTGTGGAGCTTGTCATTTTTACAAAAGATGAAGAGCCTCACGAAATCGTTTCAGGAAGTCCAAAGCGAACATCTTTTCCAACACGATCGAAGAGGCCACACGAAATCGCTTCAGGGGGTGAAGAGCGAAGAAAAAAGTAAATGAGGTACAACCGAAAATTAAACCACAACATTTCATCAGCATGAAGGAAGAAGCCACACGAAATTGCTCTAGAAATGTAAAAAGAGAGGAAAAGTGGAGCTCGTCTTTCCTACAAGAAGACGACGAGCCGCACGAAATCGTTTCAGGGGGTTGAAAGCGAACATCTTTTCCAACACGAACGAAGAGGCTACACGAAATCTCTTCAGGGGGGTTAAGAGCGAAGAAGAAAGTAAATGAGGTCCAACCGACAATTAAGCACAAACATTTCATCAGCGTGAAGGAAGAAGCCACACGAAATCCCTTCAGGAAGGTAAAAGGCGAAGAAAAGTGGAGCTTGTCTTTCCTACAAGAAGAAGAAGAGCTGCACGAAATCGCTTCAAGGGGTTAAAAGCGAAGAAAAGAAAGCAAATACTGTATAGCTGAAAATTACACAAAAAACGTTTTTTCCAACACGAACGAAGAGGCTACACGAAATCGCTTCAGGGGAGTCAAGAGCGAAGAAAAGGAAAATGAGGTACAACCGAAAATCAAACAAATAATTTTCAACATGAAGGAGCCACACGAAATCGCTTTAGAAAGGTAAAAAGCGAAGAAAACTAAAATGATATAACGCGAAAACGACACAAATTTCCAACACAGATAAAGAAGCCATACGAATTGCGCCTACCCGTGACTCGGAAAGTTTGTTTTTCCTGTGTTTAAACAAGACTACGAAAGTTTGTTTTTCTGTGTTTAAACTAAATACACACTTTAAAAGCTTTGTTTTCCATGTCTAAACTAACTTGTGCCTACCCGGGGCTCCGCAAGTTTGTTTTTTCTGTGTTTAAACTAAATAAACCCTATAAAAGGTTCTAAACTAACTTGCGCCTACGCGGGACTCCGAAAGTTTGTTTTTCTGTGTTTAAACTAAATAAACCCTACAAAAGGTTTGTTTTCCATGTTTAAACTAACTTACGTCTGTCCTGTTTGTCAATGCGAGACTGGCAAAAGAGCGGGCGAGATGCTTAGATTACAGTGTAGTGTTGACGGAAGCGGGGGGGGGTGGAGTTGACGGAATGAGCAGTTGATGGAAGCGGGCGATGGGGGTTGACAGAATCGGGAGTTGAGGGAAGCGGGCGATGGGGGTTGACAGAATCGGCACTATCTGGGTTGAGGGAAGCGGGGAATAGGGTAGAAGGAAGCGGGGTTGAAAGAATCTTGGTTGACGGAAGCGCGCAAAGTTGA